GCGTTGAAAAGTGACTTGAAATCGACAATAATATGCTGCCGGACAAACTGTCTGGCAAAAAACCCAGTTGTGCCAGACAATTAACTTTTCGTACCAGACAATGTCCGTGACCGGCCGCTTATTTTCAGGCTTGGGTAGTGCCACTTTATAGTAGCCAAACTCCCCGACGAAGGGCCTTCACTCGAAACGTCAAAGTTCTCCTTGTATTTTTCAAGTAGTTATATCCTAGTATCCGCAGCATTCTTGTAATGATAAATGATTAGAATGTTCCAAGGAATCAATCATATAACGATCATACCATGGAAATTTAAAACGGCGTGTGTTCTCATTATCCATCATCACATACAAAGAGTGAAGATTATTTTCTTACTTGTACAAACTGTAATTTTTCTTTCAAATGCGTGAGAACTTGAACTGTGGTTGTGATTTTCTTGCGTAGTTTTAAAAGTTCCTCATTTCTTTCTTCGATTTTCTCATTATAAGTCTGATTCTCTATCTTGAGTTGTTCAAAGTCGATGAGATGAAGACCTTCTGCCAATTCTTCCTGTGAGAATACAAAGAAAATTATAGTTAATTATAAAATATAATGATGTTTGTGATGTTACTCTGAGTATGCATCCACACCGGGCAAGCTAAAACGTTTGCTTGGCCACGGTGGGAATCAAACCCACGAACTTTGCAGGGATACTAGTCCAATGCTCTGGCAACTGTGCTACGAGGTCAAGTCGGTTCAAGTTGTTGATATTTCGGAACTGAATCTAGTTTCTTCGATATCAGTGTAATCTATGATATGATTTTTGTGTATGTGTTGGTGTTATGTACTCAGGTGAATAATGATGTTTGTGATGTTACTCTGAGTATGCATCCACACCGGGCAAGCTGAAAAGTTTGCTTCGGGCCACGTATAAGTTGAAGACGCTCTCTTAGGTACTCTGCTGCGAGAAGAAGCCGAAGTTTAATTGATTTTAAACTGTAAATACTGTACCTTTGCTTTGAGTTGGATCTCTCTCTTCTTCAGTCTGTTTTTAAGTTTGATATTTTCTAGACGAACCTTAAACAAAATATAAAATGTGATAAATAATTTTAAACCCCTAGTCAAACGTAAGAGTTGATTAGAGTGAGAGTTTGCATGAGATTTGTTTACAATCATGATGAGAAAGATTAAAACAAGAATCTAAAGTATTTTCATCAAAGTAATTCGTACCAACATAACTTCATGATCCTTCTTCTGTTCAAGCTGTTGATATTGTTCAATATCTTTGAGTGGGATAGGTCGTCCTGATCTGCTGTTCAGAGCTTGTTTTGCCATGTCTGTCTTGTGTTTCAAAAATTCATTTCTAAAGCAATGAAACAATGCTCGTTGGATAAGAATATCGTATCATCAGAATTGGATTAAGTGAGTTTCACTAAGCACAATCGTACAGGAGATGGTGGCCAACCTGCAGTTACAAGAGTGAGAGTCATTATATGTAGTAGTCTTGTATTTGGAGGCAAATAAATAGAATAGACAATTCCCATTATAGACTAATTTTAAAACTAGGCAAGGAGATGCAAATAAATCACCCCAGCTAGAAAGAGCATATTAAAATGAGTAAAATTGCAAAGTTTGGCCGCGAAATGTTGCAAAATGCGGAAAATATAGCCCTGCGAAATTTGCAAATTTCATATTACGCGCGGGAAAATGCACCACATTTGGGCCGAACGTGGTGCAAACTCCCGTGCGTAATACAGATTTATAATATAAAATTTTCAAATTTCGCAGGGCTATATTTTCCTCATTTTGCAACATTTGGCAACCAAACTTTGCAATTTTACTCATTTTAACATGCTCTTTCTAGCTGTGGTGATGGATTTTGTTCTTCTTGCCTAGACCAAAATTTAGTCTATCGCTGGAATTGCCCATTGAAGGATGTAGTTTCATTCTCTTGCTGCTGTAAATGTCAGATTTCTGAAGTTGATCACTCAGAGCAGTAACGCTTCCTGAAACCCACCCATAAACTCCCATGCTCAATAACACCAACGTTCACACACCTGACTTCCTGAACTTTAAATTGTTTCTCAGAACATCGTTCTTTCAATTCCTCGATCTGTTCTTTATAACTTTCTTGTTCTCCTGTGAGATCACTTTGCAGTTCATCCAAATTAGCTGGAAAATGCGTACAACAATAAAACGATTTATTGTGCTCAGTATCCAGGTGATCTCGTGTTCGTATTTTAGCCAATCAGCGCTCAGAAAGGGTTGTCCGAATAGAAATCCATTTTGATGTATTCAGTCAATTATATCTTTCGTTATTCTTTATGAAACTAGTTGAAATTTTGTAATTATGTTTGGTTATGAGAACTCTAGCTCTGACAAAAATATAGAATCAAAATAAAGTATATTACAGGAGATATTCAGTTGTTTTAATCATAAAATGGATTTCTATTTGACAACTAGTGCCAGTACTTTTCCGCGTATCAAGATCATCTGGATTGCATGCACAGTTTAAATTGACGTGGTTTAATTGCGGTTTGACAGCGATAGGTTCAAGGATGTAGCGGGTTTAGGTTATCCCTAAGCGACACTTGACTCAGTTTATAGATAGAATGCTCCTGAAAGTTGTTTAATTCTAATACTCGCATGAACTCACTTCCGCATTTAAGCAAGGAAAAACAAGGCCTAATATTCATGCTACCCATTACCTAAATATTTAATATATCTTTGTTCTTGATCACTGACATTTTTCTCAATTTCTTGTTGTCTGTCATCCGTCTGAGAGAAAGGATAGCGTTTTATACTTTACGAAAGTTTCACTGAACAAAAAAGGCGTTTTATAATTTAGACTATATGAATTTCCACACCAAGCGGCGTTCACCTTTTTCTTTTTGAAATATTCCGCCAGTTTGTGTTGGAATTGAGAATTCAAAGTCTGTAGCGCTGATCTTTCTTCCACGGCTTGCTGGAACCAGACAATGAAATACATATTAATATTTCGATTTTATTTCAAAGTCATTGTGAAACCTCAACATGTAAAGCATGTTTTCCAACTTCAATAGCATCGTATCGAAAAGTACCGTATATTTCTGTACAAACTGCGGCACTATGATACGATTAAAATGCAAAACGTGCTTAATGTGTCCCAAAGATTCACCTGATATCTCTCCAAAAGTTCGACTCTGTTGTAAACCGGAACTTCAATCGACGAGGCAATGGATTGAGTTTCTCCATCATATGGAGATAAAATGTTCACAATCTGAGGTTGATCATCTAGATTGAATATAAAATATCTACTAACTTCAAAAATCAGTGCACAATGTAGGAGGCTTCATGTAAGAAAAAGGTGAAGTTAGAATGTAGTTCAACCAATGCCTGACCACGGAGCACAGCTAAGGCAGAGGAGTAGTTTTTAATCTTGTATATACTATTAAATACCAAAACTATAGATGCCTCCTCTTGCCTGAAAAACGTGTCTTATGACTACATTCCTATGCCTATTACTGCTAAAATGTCAAACTATTATTAGCTAATCAGGCACCAAATCCCGGCATAATTTCTTGAGGACCAATCAGACATGTTTTGACACCAATGACACATTTTTCAGGCGGTTTTGGTAACAATACTTTGGAATTAGTCCTTACCAAAATTATTTAAGATTGCATCATCAACTATCACCACAGGAGGTGTTTGTGCCGGGTCTGGTATTTCTGTCATGCTAGCCACCATACCATCTGCTGGTTGTTGTTCTAAAACAATACTGGCTTCTCTTGACAATGGTTGTGCGACTGTCTCTAGAAGTGGACCATCTTCTTTCTCTGGTTCAACAGAGTTCTACACACAGTTTAAAGAAGTAATCAACAGATTTGTACATATTAGAGAGCTTTCAAGCTTGTCCATCAGAAAAATGTTCCATTGCTTAAACTTTTTGATGTTCATACAAACCTCTGTCGTTGATGGTCTTTCTTCAGCAGATGCATTGTCCATCATGTCTGGAGTTCGTTCATTTTGTTGTTGATTGTTTTGTTCATTACCATCTGACGATACTCCAGCTTCCTCCCCAACTACTACTGGTTAAAAATATCATAATTATGGGCAAATTTGATACACTGACATGTAGCTAATAAGAGAAATCCAGTCATGACGTCTATCATTCGGTTTATCCTAACACTTATCCAAATTCTATTAATCCGAACTCTAACCCTGGACACTAGTCACTAGTGAACATCATATATACCATAAATATACTTGTTGTTATTTACTAGAATTTCCACAATTATAATTTGAACCATACCTTGTGTTTCAGGTTGCTCACTGCTTTCCACGTTGCTATTATCTGCGTTATTACCGAAGTCAACATCTTCAATGGCTATACTTGGCCGTCTTGGTGCCTCGACGTTTTCTGCTGTTGTTAAGTTTGTTTCTTCAGAAATCTACATTTATAACACATAAATATATAGAAAAGATATTATTCTACCTAACTACTTAATATCGTGACATAAAACAAAAGCGAAATTGACTTTTTGGGCTACTAAATTCGTACCTTCGCTTCTGTTGTATTATTTTCGTCCGCCATCTTGGATTGTTTGTAGTAACTATGGCAACGATGTTAGAACCTAGTCTCCTTTTGGTCACGGTCAAAAGTCCACGTACTATAAAGTCTATAAAAACTAGCACAATTGAGCAAAAAGTTAATGAAAACAAATAGAAAACAATGCAACACAAATGAGAACAATAAAACAAATGCATAGAAATGGTTCTTTACAAAATTTGTATCTTTTTGAAAAGGTTTTTGCGGCCTTTTGCTATTTTTTTGTTCAATTTCCGCAAAAACAATTACCATTGTTATTACGTCACAATAATTCTGACCAACCAGAGCATTTCATGACCATATTTGGTAACAACCAGAAACTTGTGCTTATAAAAGCGCGTACAAAAATATTTCACTGCCTCCATCTTTCTTTTTGCCGAGAGACTTCTGACAAAACCACGCTGATTTTGCTGTAAATCTACACCAAATCCCTTGAAAAATGGAAGACGATGTTGCGGCGTTAGTTGTTGATAATGGATCGGGTATGTGCAAAGCTGGTTTCGCCGGCGACGATGCACCAAGAGCTGTTTTCCCCTCCATCGTCGGTCGTCCTCGCCATCAAGGTGTGATGGTTGGTATGGGCCAGAAAGATTCGTATGTTGGCGACGAGGCCCAAAGCAAAAGAGGTATCCTTACCTTGAAATACCCCATCGAACACGGCATCGTCACAAACTGGGATGATATGGAAAAGGTAGGCTTTTCCCGCTTTTTTCTCAACGAAAAAATTCCGTTTGTAATTCTGCATGCGGTGAGCATTTCGCCAAAAGTATTTTGCCGTTTTTCCACAAAGCTTTTATATTTTTTTTGACATTCAAGGGAAGTCAAAGACGGTGAAAATTTATGCACCTACAGTAGTTTATTAATTGTTTTGTCTTATAGATATGGCATCATACATTTTACAACGAGTTGCGAGTAGCACCAGAAGAACACCCTGTGTTGTTGACGGAAGCTCCACTGAACCCAAAAGCCAACAGAGAAAAGATGACACAGGTAATGTATTTGGAGTAAGAACAACTCGAGACGAGCACCAACTATATAATTGCACCACTACTAAACGCCCAAATATACTGGGGAAACGGACTCTATTCCTTTTTAAGACACCTTTTAAAATACCAAGTATAAACTACATTATTTTGGCATACTAAAGAAGCATTCAAGCAATACATTTCTACCACACAAACGTTGGAAAAGTTATCATTTGGCCCCTAAGCCAGGCTATTAAGTTTTACACAAATCCAATAATCAATCCAGTTTTATTGCAGATCAGTGCACTGAATGCATCATTGGAATCACGTGATCAAAATGTCACGTTTGTCATATGTGAACAACTTTTCGAAACCCCCATTTAAAACTACATTGTGGTAAACTCGTTTTAATTTTTGATTCAGATCATGTTTGAAACCTTCAACACCCCAGCTATGTATGTAGCCATCCAGGCTGTGTTGTCCCTGTATGCTTCTGGTCGTACCACAGGAATCGTGTTCGACAGTGGTGATGGTGTCTCCCACACTGTACCAATCTACGAAGGTTATGCCTTGCCTCATGCCATCCTTCGTCTTGATTTGGCTGGTCGTGATCTTACCGATTACCTGATGAAAATCTTGACGGAGAGAGGTTATTCATTCACCACGACCGCTGAAAGAGAAATCGTCCGTGACATAAAGGAAAAATTGGCCTATGTCGCTCTTGATTTTGAACAAGAAATGCAAACAGCTGCAACCAGTTCTAGCTTGGAGAAGGCATACGAGCTTCCTGACGGTCAAGTTATCACCATTGGTAATGAGCGATTCCGATGCCCAGAAGCACTCTTCCAACCATCATTCCTCGGAATGGAATCTGCTGGTATCCATGAAACCTGCTATAACTCCATCATGAAATGCGATGTCGACATCAGGAAAGATCTGTATGCTAACACCGTGTTGTCTGGTGGTTCTACCATGTACCCAGGTATTGCCGATAGAATGCAAAAAGAAATCACGTCGCTCGCTCCACCCACAATGAAAATCAAAGTGATTGCTCCACCAGAAAGAAAATACTCTGTCTGGATCGGTGGCTCCATCTTGGCTTCCCTCTCGACCTTCCAACAGATGTGGATCTCGAAACAAGAATATGATGAATCTGGTCCGTCTATCGTCCACAGAAAATGCTTTTAAGTTCCTATAGGACATTTTTGCCAAGATCTAGTAGTTTGAAGTTATTTTTTTCACGGGTATTTCTCAAAGATATTGATTGACTCAACGTACTTTGAAATGAAATGCATGGCTTTTGACATTTGCTATAATTCCACTATTCAAATATGTTACAAAGTTCACAATTTTACATTCTTCTAAATGTGTTAAACCACGCAAGTAAAATTTGCAATAAATGTTTTTATGTTTAAGATATTTTGTGTGTATCAATGTTTTTTTGCATGAGTTATCTTGAATTGGGTTGGGCAGGAACTGGGCTAATAACTTTGTTTTCGGAGCATAATCTTTATCTTGGAAGTGTGGTCAAAAAGTACTGCCGCCACAGTCACAGAAAAAACATTGTATATAAACGTTGTCTATTGGAGATTTCAATCAGCTTGGGTATCAGTGAAAAAAGTAAAGTCCGTTCTGCGCATATATTCTGCGCATCAACACATTCCAACAGTGGGGAGCAACCTTTGGAATGTTGTTAATATTTCGCACCTTCCGAACTTTCTTGAATTGAATCTCTAGTCCAGCGACGGCGGAACAGATTTCGTTCTGGGGGGGGGGCTAAATTTTTTCGGCGACTTCCCCCCCCCCCAATATACAAAAAAAGGACGAAAAAATTTTTTTCGGACTTATATCAAAAATTTTTTTCGGAAATACACTTTTTTAAACAAAATATTGCAAATTTGTCTCCTTATACCTAAATTTTCAAAAAATAACCTAAATTTTTCCCTAATTATCAAAATTTTTTCAAAAAATTCAAATTTTCTGGGGGAGCTAAGCCTCCCCCCTCCACTTTTACTTCTGGGGGGGGCTTTAGCCCCCCTAGCCCCCCCCCCTGTTCCGCCGCCCCTGCTCTAGTCTACATTCATTTACAAGCATAGTGAACCGGAAGAGTGTTAAAAATTCAGTACAATATATATCTAATCATATTTTACAACTGTAGCACTGAGTTCAAAATGTAAACAAAGCGTTTGTTTTTTCAAACAATGTTTTTTTTATGAATTTTGTGACCACGTGTCCAAGGAACCTCGCCTCGTTTACAAGCGCTGCTAGTTTTTCCTAAGGCATGGAAATCTACCAATAAAAACACGATTACCTCCTTGGAACTAACCAATAAGCATCGCGCATGTATTGATCACCTGACATACAAATGATGTAATGTGATGTAATGTTACTATTTTTAACCGGAACTTGTGACAATCACATGAGATGCCTTGTATTGCGACAAGTCTGCTGGATTTCAATAGATTCTCATTTGAAAATTTAAAGTAGTGACCGTAGTGTTGTCATATTTTCACGGTTCGTTCGTTTGGGCTTTGCCCTGTATAAAGTCTAAGACTCTAAGGACATTTGCTATATTTGGTAAGTGGAAGGTTGCTTGAATTTAGCTTTTCAATTTGTTTGGATTTTGCAACATTTCCTTTACATTTTGCAACATTTCCTTTGACACAAACCGTCTCTGATCAAATTATTTGCAAGTATACATTTAATTGTATTTATAACCTATTTGTTGTGTAGTCATATTGTATTGTTACACTTGGTGATATTTTGATCAGAATTTGTAGTGATCTAGTGACTGCAAAACTTCTAGGGAAATTATACCTAGAGTGAAGCTTGTTATAGCTTGGTACTTAACGTTTTACAGCTGGTGGACAGGTGATCACATGAACTAGCTTGCAAATTGAACTACATTTAACTTCATATAAATGAAAAGGATTGACAACATTTTATCATTCTGATAAGGGACCAGTCATTATTTATGGAAGGGGGAAAAAATGAGGGGGGGGTAGCTATGTATAAATAAATTACTAGAAGGGGGGTTATTAAATTTTTGAAGAAAATGAGGGGGGGGGTTGCAATTAAATTTGAAGGAATTTGCTTAATAAGCATGTTATCCATTTTGTTGTAATTGCGACTGGTGTGAAATAGTCTGGATTTATCTTGTCTTCTGTGTGCTGTATGCAAATCAGTCTTTACTGATTGCAGAGATAAATTGACAATGTATTATTACATCAGCTATCTTGATGTGGTCAAATACATTTAAGCAAGGTTAACGGCGAATGTACTATGCAGGCCACATCCACTGATGGGAGTCTGTGACGTCATATTGATTAAAGGGGGTTGTTTTGCGCCTTGTGATCAGTGCTTCGGTCTGGGTATTCATACTGCCATTGTATGCTTTGCCTAGCTGCAGCAAGTGTAGTGCTTAGATACCTTTCTCCTACACACCCCACCCACCAGATAAAATCCTCTAGAATAAACATGGGTAGTAGGTCATTTTATTTTATATAATTTTTAATCTCACATAAAATAGGATGTATAGACCACTATACATTATATTTTGTTTCCACTGACTTGTCAGTGTGATTGGTGCCGGAGGTATGCCTTGGCAGAATGTCCAGAATTGTCATGGCTATCTCCTTTTGCTGCTAATATTACTGATTGTTACTCTCATTGCTATGCAGCTGCTATGGCAATACTTTGTGCCATCAAATCTAGTTACAACCTTGGACCACAAACGGCACCTGCCTCCAAACACTAACATTAATTCTCTGCCGTTAAACATGGTTACAATCGCCCAGATCAAATGGAAACCTGATTTTAGAGTTATATATGAAAATACCCCTCTTTTATTTATAATTTTCTGCCAATGTATATTTTTGGTCGACGTTAATATCTTGTCAGCTCCATATTCTTATTTAATTAATAATTAACATTATAATGCCTGGGTATCCCCATTTGTCGAGTAAAAATGAAAATGGGGGGTCAAAGAAAAATATTCTAATATGTAGAGGGGGGTCATCATTAAATTTCTGCTCTTTTAAGGGGGGGGGCTTTCAATTTTAAAAATTTAGGAAAGAAAAAATTCCCCTCCCCCCTTCCATAAATAATGACCGGTCCCTAACTGCCAGTGGACCATCATCTGCTATACTATTTAGTGAAATCAACCTGTTGGGTCAGTTTCCTAATTTCCTTCAAATAAGGGCCCTAGGGGTGCTGTGTTGAAGGGGCTGGAACACTACATCTGAAATGCCCACTTTGCCATTGCATCTGCATCTAAAGATAAACATTGACAGATAAAAACAATGTAAGACAATTTGCCAGGTTTCTGTTATATGCAGGTTAGGGACCGCTCATTATTTATTGTACAGGGGGGGATTGAGGAGAAACTGGGGGGGCCTTCAAATTTTTCAAAACCTGAAAGGGGGGGCTTTGAAAAAATACAGGGAGACGAAAGAAGGGGGGCTTTGAAATTATTTACCAGTTTGAAAAAACAGTAGTTTTAAAAATGTATCACAAAACAACTTAACAACAAATAACAATATTTATAGACTTTAATATTCATAAATGGAAGTCAAATAAAAAGTCTCATGTTCATGTAAATAGACAATTCCCATTATAGACTAATTTTAGAACTAGGCAAAAAGATGCAAATCAAGGCCGGATTTTGGTGAAAATAGTGGGGGAGGTGGACAAAAATTTTAGGAGAGGTGCAGCGGTCTAGCTCACAACTCCCATGGAAAGTTAGGGCTTATTGTAGAAGAGGCCAATATCAACGAGGTGAGGTATGCATGTAGGGTACATATGTACCAGTGTATTAATGAATTATGAATGTATGACTCCAATCTTGCCTTCATTACAATTGCTACACTGTTTCTTTCAAAACATTGCATTAAAATGGTGCTTGACATGGCTATCACTGTTTCAATTTTACAGAGAAAACTTTCTTACATCACAAAGTGTAGATCCTAAGCAACCATCACATTTTCACTTTGTTCCATCATTGAAACTTTCCCAAGGGGAAGTGCATGACCTTTCAAGAGAAGTGAAAAAATTCTCAATGGAGGTGCAAAACGATCTCTGGGGAGGTGCGCACCTCTCCACACTTCCCTCAAAATCCGGCCTTGATGCAAATAAATCACCACAGCTAGAAAGAGCATACTAAAATAAGTAAATTATTGCAAAGTTTGGTTGCGAATTGTTGCAAAATACGGAAAATATAGCCTTGAAAAGTTTGCAATTTTGTACACTTTTGTATTGCATGCGAAAATTGCAATTATACAAAAGAATACAAAATTTGCAAACTTTGAAAGGCTATATTTTCTACATATTTTACAACATTTTGCAACCAAACTTTGGAATTTTAGTAATTTAAAGCCCCGTTTACACTACGCTCAATTTTTGATACGGCACAGATAAAATTGGTACCCGTACCACTTTTTTTGTTCTTGGACTACCTATTTAGGTAGTCCAAGAACCAAAAAGTGGTACGGTACCAAAAATTAAGCGTAGTGTAAACGGGGCTTAGCTAAATAGGTAGTTAAAGAACCAAAAAAGTGGTACGGGTACCAATTTTATCCGTGCCGTACCAAAAATTGAGCGTAGTGTAAACGGGGCTTTAGTATGCCCTTCCCGGGAATATACTTTTTTTGCTAAGATAAAAAATTAGTCTATAATGGGAATGTCTATTGGTCCCCATTACCTATTTTTCTTTCTCTAAAATAAACAGCTAGAGTTTTTGTTTCTCTAAATAAAGATAAAGAGCTAGAGGGGGGGGGGATTTATGTTCTTGTTTTGCCTGGGGGGGGGGCTTTGAAAATTTTACTTGTCTTAAGAGGGGGGCAACGAAAAAATATTACATCTGTAGAGTTTCTCCTCAGTCCCGCCCTGTACAATAAATAATGAGCGGTCCCTTAATTAATAAGCTTTGTTGGCTTTGTCTAAGATTTTTTTAGACTTTTTACCATTAATCGTTATATTGAAGCTATAATAGTATAGACTATAGTTGCGTTCACTTGATATTTTGTACAAAAGCAATTACTAATCATTGTAAAAGCAATATTCCACTGCCACTGTCACTGACAAAACATTACTGCATTTACCGGCATTCATTCGACATTCATTTATATAATGTTTATGTAGTGATCAGTGTTAAAGGATCACCTTCATTCATATATAGTAAACGCTATACCATACTTCGATCGATCTAGAAAATAAGCTAAAATAGCTCATCATGCCCGAGCAATCATTACGTAGTCTTGTAGATCTAGAAATCGATGTTTGGAGAAAATAAAGACCTTTTTGCAATTGACTTTGGTATATGAACTTACTCACTGAAAAGGCATCCCAAGAATTAAACCAGTCCTACTTAATTGCCTGTATATACATGTATGTATTCCACAAAATAAACCTCCTAAAGGTTCAGTTAAAATAATTAAAAGCGCACTTATATCAAAGAAATGGAAAGTTCTTAAACTGACAAAAAGTGTGTATCTGATATAATAACAAGACATACGTGCTATGGCCTATGAGGTGAAATAGACAAGAATACAAATCGTAAACCGCAAGCAAATTGTATGGATTTTTACTGACAAAAAGTGTGTATCTGATATAATAATTAGACACTATTTTTTAAGGGCATGGTAGAAAAGATGGAGTGGGGAATACGGAGTCTATCCGAAAAAGTTTTTACGTCAGGCTGTTGATTTTTTGGACATCGTCGTTTCCACCATGTGAGGGCGGAGAAAGAGATTTCAGTGTAGTTAAAATTGGATTTAAGGCGTTAAACATTTTTTGACAAGTTCAGTGGTGGAAAGACGGAGTCTAATACAAATAGATTGCCTGGCGTAAAAAAGACTTTTGATAGACTCCGTACTCTGCACTCCGTGTTTATCGCTATGCTGGCATCGATTCAAAGCCTCACGCACAATATTTACTCGCACAGCACGAGTCCCTCATTAAACCAGCGGGAGGCAAATTTGATGCAATTGACATTTGGCATCAGTTTCATATTCTATCTAAGACTAAAGCTTTTCTTATGACGTACAGTAATTTTATGCTGCACTGAAGTGTAATACACCAAGATAACATTTCATTAAAAATATACACTTTAAAATAATCAACTCGTAACTCCAAAGCATTAAAATAAACGTGAAATGAAGTGAATATTATGGCGCATTAATTACGTGCTACAACGAAATTAAAATCTGCATATGCCTATATATTTGTAACTTTAATTTGTTTTCACAAACTTTTTCATTGTTGCTCTTGTAAAATATAACGCTAAACGTTCGACTCGCTATTATTTCCGCTTGATGCCGTTTAATTGTATCAACACTTTCAATAACAATGTATCTGGGGAACGTTGTCTATTTCTACGCCTTTCTACATTATACTTGAATTATCATTTAATAATATATTTAACAATGCGTGACCTGGTGCTTTTATTCAATCCGTGTCATTTAATTTGCTAGGTAATATAGTCAGTGATCATGGCGATGGAAACGTACTTTGATTTCGATGCTGAAACATTTCAAATCATTGAGCGAAAAAGACTGAGTAGCTCATCTGGAGAAGTACCGCCCACCCCTGGCCTTTCAAGCCCTTATATCAAGAGCACATGTTCAGAAGATGCTGGTTTTGAGACCAGCAGTGACCGCAGTTCTCAAGATGGAATACCTCTCTTTGAATCACCACGAAGTCCATGCCTTAAAACTTCATTCAACGGCTTCTCGTGTTCAACCTGCCCAAGAGCCAGTCTTGATTCCTTGGTGTACAGACCTATACGACGTTATGATTCCAAAGAAAGCATCAAATCTACTTCTTCATTTTGGGAGTCAAACTTTCCACCCGAGACCAAAGCAGTGCTCACGAAAATTCGAGATCAGATGCGGTCTAGTTTAGAAAAAGTGAGAAAGCTAGAAGAAGAAGCACAGCAAATTCCTCTTTTACAAGTAAAAATTTCTATTTTACAAGAAGAAAAACGACAACTTATTGCTCAGTTGGAATGTAGACATAATTTAAAGAAACCCCGTTCTCGTGGTAGCAGCATGAATCACAGTCGATCATCTTCAATTGATGACTTGATTTATGGTTTTCAAGATAAAGAAACAAGGACTATTGGTATCGGCGAAGATACTGTTCATGATATACTTTGTGAGAAATGTAAAGAAATTCAGTCCAAGTTGCTAGGACATTCCTGCGATGATAACGTTGGTTTATGTCACGGAGTACCACGTGATACGGAACAACGTCACGGAAGACAAAGAAAAGACATTAAAAACGATGATATTGAAGTGTTTCAAGATCGTTGTACTCAAACAAAAACACCTGAATACAAGCACAACTCTATACAAGTGATAGTATCAACACAAGATAGTTCCACTAGCATGGACACTGGTGACAGTTCAAGCGTAGTGATCAACGATAACCACATAATGACCAAAGAATCCTTTTGCGACCCAATACCTGTCGAAACAAGGTCTGTCGGAGTTGGACAAATGAAATCTTTTCTTAAAGATGCTTGCGTGGGAGAAGATAGAGATATACCTAGTTATGCAGACAATAGTGTTCAAAATGTGGTATCCACGAATGACAAGAGTTGCGGAGTGCACATTTCAACTGAGAATATTGGTGTTAATGTCTGTCCTACTGTAGTTTCTATTGGAACAGGATGTATTTCAAATGGCAGTATAGATAATAGCGAACAACGTTCCATTGGATCTCAAACTGCGGAGAAGCATATAAATTTAGTGACAGTTGGTGTGGGTATGTTCTCGATTGATGACTCTGAAGATCATGAATGTTCAAAGTGTAATTCAGCAAAATCGTTATCCATAGATGGAATACTGGAATCTAATAAAAATATTTACGAAGAAAATACAAGCGTTGCTGTAGGGACGCTGCCTTGGGTTAATTTAGAAAGACAGATACTTCTTGATTACTATGCATCAAGGTCAACAGCTTCTGTTGCCGTGGAAACGGAAACAGACAGCCGTACAGTCGGTTGCGGTGAGCAGAGTGTTACGGAAGTCGCTTGTCAAAACTGTGCCTCTAAATCAACTCGATCCTTAGGTGTAAACTATTCGCCCAAAATGTCTGACAAGGCAGTTGGAGATGTGGTACCTGAGACATATTCAGTAGGAGTGGGTGAATGTTGCTTGACTGATAACTATTGTGAAAGATGTTTCTCATTGGAAACTCGGACTATTGGCGTTGGTAATGGTAGTGTGTTGGATACCGTTCAAACTGAACTCGCAACTACACCAACACTTACAGATGTATCGTTACAGCCACTTACTCCGCCTCAAACTCCGAATTCAAAGAATGAAGCGAAGACTCTCAGTAGCAAGCCTGTTGAGGAAATTTTATCATCAGTTACCAGAATGTTCAGTGATGAGTATGAAAGAGTTGAATGTGAACTCATCACAGATTGCATGGATGGAGAATTGCGTAAAGATCCCAACAGGTATAATTAATCTGTTTGGTTAAAAACACCATGTTCAAACGAATTAAACCTGACATTTCCCGCAAACAACTTCGACAGATTAGGGGCGTAGCCAGCCCCAAACTAGTGCGGGGGAGGGGGTATAATTGTGCGGCTGTCCGGAGACATATGGTCCCCCGGGAAATTGTTGTATTTTTAGGGTGTGCGAAATTATATTTCATGCATTTTAGACACGTTTTATGATAATCTGAAAGCCACAGATTGGGTTTATTTTATGTCATAGATGAAAACGTTAAGAGGTTAACCCCACCCCCTCCCTCAAAATTGGTCCTGAAGAAAAGTTGGGGGTCCAGACCCCTGCCCCATTCCCACCGTAGCTACCGCCTCTGCGACAGATATAGTTATAACAGTGATTTGAAGTATTGAAATGCTGCTGATTTCCGTTGTTGTTGTGCTCATGAATTGTTAATGTTTTGAGAAATATTGTGATGTATATAATTGCTGGATGATATGAACAGAAGAGAAATGCTGGACATTAAGAGATTCTGGTCCTATCATATTTTCTTTGAAAACATGCATCATCAGGGCCGCCGAGAGGGGGGGTGGGGCAGGGGGGGGGGGGCAAATTGCCCCGAGGCTCTGGGGGCCCCTAGAAATTTAATGTTAGAAATTTAATGGGCCCCAGTCATTTTTTCGGGCGAAATATTTCTGTTTTCGGGCCAAAATATTTGTGTTTTGGGGGCAATGAACCGAAATTTGGTATGGAAAATTGCGGAAAAGTCCAACGAAAGCAATTATAACGCACCTAAAAAGAATTTATTGTCCGAAAAATTTTTTTCCGGAAAATTTTTTTTGCAATAGGGGCCCCTAAAATTTTTTTTGCTCCGGGCCCCCACCAAGCTCTCGGCGGCCCTGTGCATCAGAAAAGTTTCAGTTCCCGAATCGAAATAAGCAGTAAATCGAGAAATAAGGCATTAATCTTGTTTGCTTTTATTATAGTGGTCGCGAGGATATCTTGCTCACATGCAAACTTCTCCAAAGACATTTTTTAAACAATGATGAGAATTTGGACGAAGATAAATTAGTAAGTCGTCTTTTTGTTTTTTGTATTGCATTTTACGGTTTTCTCAAGTTTTCTTGTAACAGCTTTGTGTTTCGAAATTGGCTTGAATCACTTGTGAGTTGTTGGATATTTGTAGAAGTAGTATAATTTGCGCCAATCATATTTTCCTGGTTCAACTCCATTGGGGGCAACCAAGTTACTTCATATATAACTGCTGAGCTTTATTAGGTTTGATTTCGTAAGATGCATGTAGCATGAAGTCGTGAGACTCGTGACATAAATACAAAAGGGAAAGATGTAAAGATTTATTTACCGAGACCGAGGGAACTATTAGTGACATATTCACCGAGGCGCGCATTAGTCCATGATTGTGTGTGTTTTGTTCCCGAAACAGCTCTTACGACGTGAAAAAATCTGGTTGAATATAAGCATTTTATCCGCAAATGCAGTGGCGTAGCTAGCGGTCCTGCTTGTCCTGCCCAGCAGGACTAAAAATTTCCCAAAATTTCCGTACTAAAGCATTGCTTTATTTATCTTGAAGCTTTAAAAATTTATCATTATCATATTGTTATTTTGTCTCATTTTCTCGTCTTTTTCGTTATTATTTTTTAAAACGTTTTTCGCATTCTGTTATATTTACGCAATTTTACAGCTTGCCGTGTCTGTTACCTAGCAACTGCAACTCTACATTGATTTACACGCGACTCGTATTTCAGTCCTGCCATTTTCAAATGGCATGACTTGCTAGTATATTTCATAGTAAATTTATACGAGAAATCTTGGTTTCTGATTGGATAATTAGGTCTGCGCATGCTCAAACCGACTGTTTACAAATTCGAAGTCCTGCTCTCAGTGATTCCACTTTCAAGGAAATTTCCTTTTTCAAGGAAATTTTGACCGAAAAAAGACGTTTCAAGGAAAAAAAAGGAATCAAGGAAATCTAAGGAATTTTTGAAAATTCTAAGGAAATTTAAGGAATTTTTGAATCAACTAAAAAGTTTTGAAGATTCTTACAGGAACCTTTCATTAATTTTAAATTATATTACTTTCTTTCGTTCATAACCAATATGTCTGTGTGCAAAAATGAAAAAAAAACCTCTTTCTGAGCCTGTAAACGAGTCAGTAGAATCAAGAATTTTAATTCAACTAAGTAGGCTGCACACAACCTGAATTTTAGGCGGAAATCAACTAGCGTGCTGTGTGCAGGCTACCACCATTCAATGGCTACCACGTGTTGGTTATATGAATTTATTTGTCATGTGAATTTGTTGACTATTGAGAACAATATTTTAAAAAACTCTAGTATTTTACATTTTAAAGCTTTCAAAATTGTTGTGTAAAGGCTTTGTTTTTAAGAGTTGAACGAAAGAAATATACCATTCTGTTTCTGTTTTACTTTATATAAGTATTGATGAATTCTAGTCAGGGGCGCCGGAAGCAATGTCAAGGGGTGGGGGCAGCCATTTCAAAAAGGCGCTTGCTCATCAGCCATCACCTTTCTGTGCGGCAATATTTGTTAAAACTCGACTGTAGGATACTCGATTACTTGTGGCTATTACGGGTCGGCAAACTTCGACATTAATTTTGAACAATTTTATTCGTTGCATCGTGTTAAGGGCGCAAAATAAAATCAGTAAACGGACATATTGCCTGATTTACCATTAATTTTACAATAACTGGTTAAAAATTAAGCAAAGATTGCTTAAGCATTTCTTAAAAATAGTTATAAATTCCAATTCCTGTGAAGAACGCACAAATTCGAGGTGCCGTTCTGGTAAAAAGGGCAACCTGCTGCCCTCGTGCTGCCTTAGGCAACGGGGGCAGTTGCCCCCGCTGCCCCCGTGGCTCCAGCGCCCCTGATTCTAGTTGCCGAAATTAGGCGAAATATACTTCGGTTAATCAAGGAAATTTCAAGGAAATTACATCCATTTCAAGGAAATTCAAGGAAATTTTAAAGCAAAATCAAGGAAATTTGAATGATGCCTTGTGGAAACACTGCCTGCTCTCTCGAAATGGCAGGACTTGGCCTTGTATTGTCTTTACTTGCGAGCTTTCCGCGTGACTAAACCCACTATTTACTAATTCTGGTTATGAATATGGAAATCAACGAGTGTGGAAGCCCAATGTGATTTTGATATAATTTCTGGCTTCTGCTAAGATATTTTAGCTCACGAAATGCATGTGAACAGACTCGACTGATGATTGTGCATTTTTATAATACAATATATTAAATGGGGAATACAAACTTCATTTGTGAAGCCTGTCGTATTGATATAAAGTAAGAACGTAATATTTACTGCCAGTTCATCTGCTTTGTGCATTTGAAACGAGCACTATATGGAGTTTAA